CTCTGATACTCCCTCAACATATGGAATGACCACTGGTCTGGGTCTGGGTTCCTCCTTTTCACCTGTTGGCTGACTGGAGTCCTGTTTGGGTTTCTTCTCTGCTTTCAGGAAGGCCCAGTTAGGATATCCACATTGCTCTAGAGCCTGTCTTGTGTGGGATTTCTCCTTCTGCCTGGCTCCTGAGCTAGTGGGGACGCTGTCTGCTCTGTGATACAGAGTCCTGATGACTCCTAACTTGTGCTCCAAAGGGTGATGGGAGTCAAACTGCAAATAATGGTCTGTGTGGGTGGGTTTGCGGTACACCTCAGTTTGCAAATGTCCTCTATCAGAGACTGAGACCTCACAGTCCAAGAAAGCCAACCTGCCATTTTTTACATCTTCTCGTGTGAACTTGATGTATTTATCCACAGAGTTGATGTGGTCAGTAAAATGTTGGACTTCCTGAGATTTAATTTTAACCCAGGTGTCGTCAACATACCTGAACCAATGGCTTGGTGGTGTCGCTGAAAAGGACGTCAAGGCTCTCTTTTCTACCTCCTCCATGTACAGGTTGGCAACAATAGGATAAACTGGAGACCCCATAGCACACCCATGTTTCTGCCTATAATATTGCTCCCCATATGTGAAGTAAGTTGACTGCAGGCACAGTTTCAAGAGTTGACACAGTTGTTCTGTGGAAAGCATTGTCCTGCTGCTCAGAGTGGTGTCTGATTTTAATTTTAAACTGACCACCTCTACTGCATCATCAACAGGAATGCACGTAAAGAGTGATGTGACATCAAAAGAGACCATTGTTTCATCAGTCTCCATGATGACAACATCATCAGGCCAGGATTCTGCGGTCTACACTCATCTCCAGGCCAGCGGTCACTCTTTCAAGGATGAAGATGTTCACATCCTGGACAGAGAGGAACGATGGTTTGAGAGAAGAGTAAAGGAGGCCATCTTTGTGAAAAGAAATCGTCCATCATTAAACAGGGGTGGAGGCCTCCGTGTTCAACTGTCCCCCTCTTACAATGCTGTTATTGCTAGGATCACTCAGCCCCCTGTGAATAGCAAACAGCCATCAGAGTGCTAATGATCTATCGTTAGGCTGATGGTCCTCCTCGATCATGTGAGCAGCTGGTTTGGGCTGTTAGCAGCAAACTGGTTGATCCATTATGAGAAGGTACTATTTTAGCTTATATTACTACCATGAAATAGATATTAGACACGAGCAGCAAAGCACTGCGAAGGCCTATTGTAATCGCTCTGTTCAGGCCCGAGCTACAATTTTTTCCCGCCAAATGAATTGGCGTTTTGAGGGCCTTAACATATCTCAAATGTCATCAAATTTGGCAGACGCATCAGAACGGGTAAAAAAAATTATGTTTTTTGAGGGCGTGGCAAAATTGCAAATGAAGCAGCTAAAGAGCGCCACCTAGAAATTTTCAAAATACCCTCCGCATTAACCTTAGTTTGTCATAGAAACATGAAATTTGGTAAAATTGTCCAATTCCCCAAGATGTACAGAAAACCCTCTGGCGAATCAAGACGTAACGCCGTCGCCATACGTTTGGCTCTAATTTTCACAGTTTTGAACCGAGGTGCACCAAAATCCTATGATCAATCATTATCCACGCCTTGAACAGGAAGCCATGATAAGTGGCCAATAGCCTCCACAGTGCCCCCTAGAATATTTTAAAACCTC